GGTCTGGGACCCATGTATCTTTGGGACCACCTCTCCCGATATAAACCCAGAAGAGTGTTGTGCTCAGTAGGTCAGAATCTACTGGTGGTCCCCGGGCCGAGGGATGTCCGGCTGTCCTTGACCAGAGCCAGGGCCTTTTCTGCTCTGACTTCAACCTGGTGGAACTCTGCCGAATAACATCTGTGCCCTACGAGACTTGATGCAGTTCCACAGGGCATGTAAGGCAGAGATGTTCTGCCAGGCACTTGGTTGAGGACAGCGATGGTTACATCCTTCTGGCACTCCCACTTCACACCACCCCGCAAGGCAATGGCACTACTGAAATTCCTAGTGTCATCTTTTTAGGTAATTTTACTGTTTTTACATGTTTTATTATGGATTGTAAGATGCTATTATATTGTACACCACCTTGAGCCTTGCCTTAGTAGGGGAGGGCACGCTAAAACTGAATCTAATCTAGTAAATAAATAAATAAATTCCATGCCTCTGTTCTTTCAATCCTGCTGCCTCTGTTCTTTGGAAGTCTTGGTGGGCTTGGCGGCTGGGAACAGCGTAGGGCTTGCAGCAGTTGCCGCTGTTGGGAGGGGGGAGAAGCCTTGGTGGGCTGGCTGGGAGCTGCACAGGGCTCACTGCAGTTGCTGCTGTCGGGGGGGGGAGCCTTGGTGGGCCCAGTGGGTGGGAGCAGCGCGGGGCTCACCGCCGTTGCCGCTGTTGGGGAGAAGCCTTGGCAGGCCTGGCACGTGGGAGCCATGCAGGGCTCGCTGCAGTTGCCGCTTTTGGGGGGGGGGAGAAGCCTTGGTGGGCCGGCTGGGAGCCATGCAGGGCTCGCCGCAGTTGCCGTTGTCAGGGGGGAGAAGCCTTGGCGGGATGGCTGGGAGCTGCACAGGGCTTGCCGCTGTTGCCACTGTGGGGGGGAGCCTTGGCGGGCTGGGCGGCCCTGCCTGCCGAGCTCACCTGTGGCCACCTCCTCCTCCATGCAGAGCTCCTGCTGCTTCTACAGGCTGGGAGCCGCCGGGAATACTCCCCCCCCATGAGTACCACGGGTCCTCCTTCTTGTAAGACTTCTAAAGATGCAATAAATGCAGGCAACCTTTTTGCAGATGTTCAGGAAGAAGGCTCTTGGGCTGTATTGTCAAAGTGGATGCTCAAGGGAGAGAGAATTAAGCCACCACAATAAAAAGAAAAATGAAAAAGCCAGTATTGGATGCTTTCTGTGTAATCAGCAAAAGCTGGTGTAAGCTGATAGTGATCTATTGGATGGCGGAGAACACAGATTACACCTGACTAAACACGGGGTGAAAAGGAGTATGCTCTGAGACCCAATTCCAAAAGAAGCTACAGGTGCAGAATGGAAGCTGGCTCACGCAGAGCTGGATTACAAAAGTCAAAGGTGAGTACTGGATGCTACAAAAGAAAGAACCACAGAGACAAGCTACACTCTTCATCTGTCACTCTGAGTTTTTAGGTGTCACAGATACAGCATCATCCTTGCTAGGCATTTGAAGCCCCATTGCCCATTATTGGCTGATAGTTACTAACAGTGGGCAGCACACCAGTGGATAAAGAAAAACCAAGAGGAGCAGGGAAGTATTCAACTACTGTGGAAAAATGACTGCCTGACTCATTTAGGTAAACCTTTTTCCAGCTACTATTGTAAACAAACAGTATACATGAAATATAAATGGCAAGTCAAACACAAATGTTTAAAGCTTCCACTCTTATTTTCCAAAGGATTTCACCAGAGACATGTCACTCTGTGTCTATAGACAATAATAGTCAACGGCAGTTTTCAGTTGAATACCATCTGGAAGTTCAGATTTTGTGTGATGCAACTCTCAGACTTCTTCCAGGTCCTTCCCCACCTGGTCAGCCAGCTTCTGGCTAGTAGTGATTAACCAATAAGGACGTTTCTTGCTATCTCAGGTCCAAAGTCTCAATCAAGTGCTGAGACTGATTTGAACTTAGGCTACGCCCTTTTGAGTTATGGCTACTCTCTATGTAAGACTATGTACAGAAAAAAACAGATATTGTACTTAAGCTTGCTTTAAAGTATAACTGATGTGCTTTTAACTGTATTGTTTTGAGGACACTAGAGCATGGAAGTCTCGATAAGGCACACATGGCTTGCCATTAGGCTTTGAAACAGTGCTGTCTGATGCATGCCAGATGCTGGGGAGGGGAAGGCATTGGGGATCTGTAAATGAACTGAAATAAAAATGGGGGACCTGGGTTTCTGAAGTTTGAGAACCATTGCTACACAATGAGAGATCAAGTTTCTTTCACTATACTAGAACTAATTAATATTACAAATGCTTGCCAAATTTAATGGCTAAAGCAGTCGCATAGTGACAAAGAAGGCCAGATTTCAAGGAGAAAATTTAACAACACACTCTGGATATGCTATGAGACTACTACGTACTATTTATTTCATTGCTGCAAAAGTTACCGGTGCAATCAGTGAGGGAAAAGACAATCAGTGAAGGCTAGTCGAATTCAGAATGCCTTAGGGTGAAGTTCATAAAAACTGCCTGAAGTACTTGACGAAACACAACAAATTTCTCAAAAGCATCCATCTATATGAGGCAGTACTGGTATTTATCAATCTAAATTCTAACCATAGCAATATTGTGTCTTAGATTCTGGCTGAAATCAGAAGTACCTGCCTACAGGTATGGATTTCTTTAGCAGAACTGTTATAATTAGGAGTAACTTGCTCAGTCTCAGAGGGATGCTATTCCTGGAATTACCATCCTGAGACACATGAAGGGAAACAGCACTTAAGAGCATCTTTGGCTCATGCACACTTTCCCTGTTGCAGCTGCTGCTGCTTCTTCAAAATCTTTTCAGTTCCTGCAGAACAAGAGCTACATGCAAAGAGGAGTAAGAGACATCCTTTAACAATAATAACAAAAGAACCAAGTTGAAGCCAGTATCAGCAGTTCCCCCATCCCACACCATTCAAGACTCTGATGTTAGAGCTGACCTTCAGAGTGCTGCTTCTGCCATAAGGGGAAGTACTGAGATTAGACATTTATCCACAGCTATTCTCCACTCCACTTCTAGGTACATAAATCTCTTTGCAAAGCTTTTACTGACCTTTCCCAAAGGGTGGCAAGTCCATGTTCTGTGGGTCCTTAATATTAACATTTCAGTACAAACATTTATCAGCTAATGAGAAGTGTGATGCTGAAGTCCTAAACTATGTCACCCATCCTTGATCAGAACTACTGAGTTGGCTTGGATACGTGCCCAGAAATTATTTTACATATTCAGATGGAATCAGCACAAGAGGGTGTAACCTAGCCAGGCTAATGTTATGAGGGCCTGTTATTCCCACTAGATAATGCTCAGACTGTTGGATTATAGCAGGCTAGCAGCCTCAACTGTTATTTATTTAATAGATTTACAGTGCAATCCTAAACAGAGTTATATCCTTCTAAGTCCATTAAAGTCAATGGGCTTAGCACACCGTAACTCTGTTTATGATAGTACTCATATATCCCACCATTCCTCAAGGGAGCTTAAGTGGCATTCATAATGTTCCAGATGACCTCCCATGCAGCCAGTGACCAGACCCAGATGTGCTTTGCTTAAATAATATGGTCGCATTAAGTGATTTTGGATCATGTATGCTGAGCTCAACTACAATTGCAGAGCACTTCCTTTTGAAGAAAAAGAAAATGAACTACAAGCTGCTGAAATGACATGGGGGTCCAAACATGGACACCTAAACATGTTTCATGCAATATTCTGGCCTCTTTCAGTAATGTGATGAGTAGAATTTTTAGAAAGATGTGTCAGAAAGAAGTGAAGTATGATCCTGTTAGATAATGACAGCTAGGGTTCACTAAGGACAAATAGTACAGAAATGCTATGAGGAATATAAAACTAATATGGTAAAGAGCTGCTCATCTCACATGTTGAGCCACTTCAACCCCTTTCCAGGAAAAATAAAAACCTTAACATTTGCTGCCCATCTGCAATGGAGGGAAAGTGTTGTATCTCAAAGAATTCCATTTACTTTCATTTTTATATACAAGGCAGAGCCTCTCTCTAAACAAACTGCATCTTAGCAGCAGTAAATTATATTCTGCTGTCCTTTGAATGGGACAGTAAACAAACACAGTGCTCCCACACCATATTTACAAAGCATGAGGAATGGATTTATATACAGGAAAACCGCTAGATGAAGAAATAATCCTGCATACCAATAAAACCAGAACTTGCAATGAAATTCCACCCCCCACCCCCCTTTCAGCATCCTATCCCTTTATAGCAAGTCTTGATTCACCCAATAATCCACCTCCTTTTTACTCCACAGACATCAAGGATATTTTCCTAATTATGTTCAGAACACTGCATCCTCTGGCATTTCAAAATGGGGGATTCAGTGCCCCGAAGAAGAAGCAGGCAGCTGCCAGCAAAAGAATGGATTATTTGGGGACCTGTCCCAGTCCAGGCTATCTTTGACTAGAACATGGAGCACTCACCCACAGGCCCAACCTAGCATCATAAAGGAAGGTAGTCACAGTGTGCATTCCCATTTGCGTCAGCTGGCAATATGTAGGGTGAAACAATGTTTCTGTGGGCCTTTGTCTTCTCTGTGGTAATACAGATAGTAATGTTTAAATGTAAACAACAGTGCCCTCCCTGTTCTTTTTGTCTGAATGGCCCACATTCTAAAATGTGATTGATTATCTGTAGAACCTTTAATTTGGGGAGGTTCAAATTGTTTGTCCTGACTGAAGTCTGAAAACCCTTGCTCTTAGGAACAAGGTTACACATTTCCTCTCCTACCTCCCCCAAACAAATCCCAGAAGCTTTGGACCAGAAGTTAATTGCTGAGCAGAAATGCCAAAGTGAAAAGCTCAAACCTCATTGCTGTTTAAATACCAAAGCTAGATTTTTAAACAGGAGAGTGCAAAATAATATTTTGACAGGAAAATGTCGCATAAATATTCAGAGGCCCTTGTTCCTTTCCTTTCTTTTTTGTTTTTTACCTGACACTCATGATGTTGCCTTCAGGATGTTTCTGCAAATATGCTTTCACCACCCAGGCTGTGTGCTCTCGATAGGTCATCACACGGCTAGAAGAGAAGGAAAGAGGGAAAGCCTTGTGGGACCCAGCTGGGAAAAATCCAGAAACTGCTCTGCAATCAGCCAAGGGAAACCAGCTGTGTGCTGGGACTAGTTTCCCAGTTAAGTAGAGTTGCAAGTCTTTGGAACCAAAGATGGAAACAACATATTGGCACCCCATCTTGCAGCTACAATTTTTAGCAGGTACTCTGGTGTATATAACCCACCATTCCTCAAGGGAGCTTAAGTGGCATTCATAATGTTCCAGATGATCTCCCATGCAGCCAGTGACCAGACCCAGATGTCACAAAATTCTACAGAAAGGTTTTGCAGTGGTGTGGGGGAAATCATTTTGAAGTTGTGTACTTTTTCTGAGACAAATAAGGAAGCACTCAATATCCGTTCTACATTACAGGTTGGATCCAGTGGTTTGCACATGCAAGGATCATGAATCTCCCCCCCCCCGCCCCACCAGCTATATTTAGCCAACTCTGAGAAAATTTATTCCCATGGCTAAGGGACTCACATGCTGCATTGGACAGCAGATGGCACTGTGGAGGGGGAAGGAGTCAAAATCACTTTCACCAACTTTTTCTTCCAGCAGAACTGCACTGAAACAAGAGTCAGAAAGGGCAATTTCATCCCCTTCCTACTGTTGCTGGCGGGTCTCATATCAACTTTCCCAGTTGGAGGAGGGGAATGTAGGAAAGATCCATGACTGTCAGCACCTTCTGATCGTTGGATCCAACCCTACATTCCCAAGTGTTGTAATTCCTAAAAATAATGCAGTAAGGGAGGGGTACCCAGAGTAGTCAGGTTCCTAGGATGTTCTGGGGCACTGACAAACAACAAATGTAAGAGTCAGCCATACTTGCAACCACAGAGTCGAGAAGGGTCTCTTACCATTCACTGAGAGCCATCCGCCTGTCATAAACACGGACAGAGCCATCACCTAGACCTGCTACAATGAGTGAACGATGAGAATCACAGGACAGGCTGGTGACACAGCTGTCAGCTCCTGTTGGAATATCCTAGTAAAGAAAAACACACACACCAAGGCTGAAAGGGCAAAAAACCTCTAAAAGGACAGACAACACAATTCAATTCAATTTCTTTAGCAGGGTTTGAACATTCTATGCTCCCATAATCTGAAAAAAATGATGCAAAAAAGTGACTGGTAGTTGCAACAGACAAGCTTTGGTTTCAAGCTGAAGCACACTATCTATAGAAGCAAATCATAGTTGTGTAGATGCAATTCTGGGAATATGAAAAGTCGTAAATAAGGAAGTTGAATGGGAACCATATCACAGAATACGAGGACACCAGTTGGATTGTCAGTACAAAGCTCCAGAACTATATTAATTAGATATTTCAGATGGTTTTATTGCCAATGTGCCTTCAGAAAGGCTTTACAGTGGTATGGTGGAAACTGCATCGGCAATAAATATATGCACAAACTGTGCTCACTGCATGTTGGTATCCTCCACTTGTGATTTAAAAGGATCCTCCAGTAGTAGATGTAACATGTTTACCTGCTGCAGTCATGTCTAGCTAGACCCGTTAGGTTTAGTTCAAAGCACTATCTCCCTTAAAGCTCTTGATGCCCTGGACTCAGCATACCTTAAGGAGCGCCTTCTCCCATCTCCCATTATCTGGGGAGATTCTACTTTGTATTCCTTCTGTCCATGAAGTAGAACTGCAAGGGCACTGGATGTTTCAGTGATGTTACCAATGCTATGGAACTGTCTCCCGGGGAGTCCCCCCAAGGCCTTTCATTAATTTATTTGGCTGGTAAGTGAACAGTGTCTCCTTTTCTAAAGCTTTTCAAATTCACTCTGATTACTGCTGTTTTTATACCTTACTTATGCTGAGGGTCTGTATAGGTAACATTTTATTGCTCTTGTTGTTTGGCTTTATATTTATGACCTACTAGGAATCAGGCCCGTTCTAGCAGTGCCAGAGCCAGTTTGGTGTAGTGGTTAAGTGCGCGGACTCTAATCTGGGAGAACCGGGTTTGATTCCCCACTCCTCCACTTGCACCTGCTGATGTGACCTTGGGTCAGTCACAAGCTCTGGCACAGCTGTCCTTGAAAAAGAGCAGTTTGTGTCAGAGTTCTCTCAGCCCCACCCACCTCACAGGGTGTCTGTTGTGGGGAGGGGAAGGGAAAGGAGTTTGTAAGCCGCTCTGAGACACCTCTGGGTAGTGAAGGGCGGGGTATAAATCCAATCTCTTCTTCTCTTCTTCTTATCTCAGGAAGGAAGGAAGGAAGGAAGGAAGGAAGGAAGGAAGGAAGGAAGGAAGGAAGGAAGGAAGGAAGGAAGGAAGGTGAGAGAGAAAGGAAGAAAGAAAGAAGGAGGGAGGGGAAGATGAGGAAAGAGGGAGGGAAAGAATCGAAAGGGATGGAGTGGAAGGAAGGGAGAAAGATGGCGGGAGGTAAAGAATGGAAAGAGATAGGGAGGGAGGGAGGAAGGAAGAGAAAGGGGGGAGAGAGGGAGAAGGGTAAGAATGCATAGAGAGGGGGAGGGAGGAAGCAGGGGAGGGTGCAAAGATATAGGGATAAACGAAGGGTAGAAGAAGAAGAGGGAGGGAGGATCAGGCAGCAAAGGAAGGAAGGGAAAAAAAAGAGAGAGAAGAGGAAGAGGTCCGTGGAAGAGACAGAGGGAGGGAGAGTGAGGGAAGGGGGGGTCCTCCAGGCCTCACCTGCAAGGAAGGTTGAGTGGTGAAAGGTGGGCGGGGGGTGGCTGGCGGCCCCCACACAGTGCGGCGGGGGTTGAGCAGGCCTCCTCCCCGGCATGGTTTGAGGGGGTAAAGGTGGGGCGGGGGCAGGTGGTGGCCTGCACAAGGCGGCCCACGGCGGGGGCCGAAGTAGGCTCCCCCCCGCTCGGTGCAGCGGTTGAGCAGGAAAAGGTGGGTTGGGGCGGCTGGCGGCCACCGCACGGCCAGGTGCAGCGGGTGTGGCTGAGGAGCCCCCCCTCTGGCTGCGGCGTAGTTTGAGGGAGGAAAGGTGGGCCAGGGGCGGGTGGCGGCCTGTGTGAGGCGGCCAGCAGCAGCGGTGGGGAAGCGGGGGCCCGAGTAGGCCTCCCCCTCACTTGGCGCAGCGGCCAACTGGGACGAGGTGGGGTGGCGGTGGCTGTAGGCCCCTGCACGGCCAGGTGCAGCAGCAGGCAAGCGGGGGGCTGAGCAGGCCTCCCCCCGGCCGCGGCGTGGGGCCTGTGGAGGCTTTCCTTGTCCGTCCGGCTCGGCAGGAGGGCAGGGGAAGGTGGCACGGGGCCTGTGGAGGGTTACCCCGTCCACCTTGGCGGGTGGGCAGGGGAAGGTGGCGCAGGGCCTGTGGAGGCTTTCCCCTGGCTTACCCTGCAGACGGTCCCATCCTGTCCGAGGACCAGAGCAGAGTGAGGAGAAGATGCTGGCTGGGGTTGACGTGGGCGGGACTCCACAAAGCAGCCAGCCAACGCAGCCAGAGTCTTCTGACTGGCAGTTCATGCAGCCAACCTATTTTGGCGCGCATACAACGTTGGGGGACGAAAACTCAATTATATATAAAGAGAGATTGACATTTCTGTATGTTGTACATAGCCTTGGGTATTCTTTTTGGAAATTTTGGGGTAATTTTAACTGGAAGGATGGGTAATAAATATCAATCATTATCATTTTGGAAGGTGCTTCAAGAGAAGCTACTGAGCAAATCATGCTCCAGCAATGTCCCTCTATCTCAGTGAAAGTAAGCAAGAAACAATTGTTGCCCTCCTTTATAGAAGCCAAATGCAATGCTATGTAAACTCATCTTTTTGGGTATTGTTAAGTTTAACACATGACCACTCCTGTCAGGTCTTAGGGGTTTTTCACATTTTACTCCCCCCCCCCCCCCGGAAATAATGGAAAGAGTAATATAGACTGCTTTTTACATATACACACCATGAAATGGTGGCTTAAGTCCCTTAGATACGTCACATGTATCAAGTGCCTATTAGCTTCCCAATATGCATATTTGGCAGTAATTTATCTCTGGATTAATTTCTGCATTTGAAAAGGTAGTGTGTGTAGTGGGCCTTCATTCTGAAGGAAAAAAGATACTCATTATCCACTTAAAAATACCTAATTAGTTTAAATACATGTCCCAAAGGAGTTCCCTTCTTGACCTCCATAAAACATAGTCATTCTGTAGTAGCCATAAATGCTGCCTGGGAGAGCAGGATGGATTTCCCTGGAAACAAAATATTCTGTGCTTGCTGAAAATATTCCACTTGCATCTAATGGGCATATGTGGGAAATCGAAACATACATAAAAGGGGGAGATGGAACATGTTACTGACAGCTGCAGCTCTTTTAAAAATACCTATTAAAGGAATGCACCTGCAAGGCAATACCAGTTCCTTGGGCATTAAACCAAACCACAAATACCACAAAAGCAGCTTCAATATGCCTCGAAGAACAACAAATGCTGAAAGAGGAACTGAGACCATAACCTAGGGCTTTCCTGCATGAGTTGTTGCTACTGGTTCTGGCCCCATACCTCTTCATTTTATCCCAATTTCCACATGCAATTTTGTGCCTTTAGTTTTCACTTTGTTGTTGTTGGGTTTTTTTTCGGTTTTCCTCAGATTTCTTCTGGTTCTTTTGAAACCACTTTTACCCTGATGTTTTCCTGGAAGCCGATTTTGAATTGGCTTTTTCCTCATGTGTAATATTTCTGTCAGTTTTCTTTGTCTCACTCACTCCCACCCATCTCCAGCTCCTTTTTCAATGATTGGACTATTGTCATCATCAAACCACTCCTCCTCCTCGAAGACAAGCTTTTTTTAAAAAAAAAGAAAGGTCCTAAACTATTGATATAGTGTTGTAATGACAGTTTAAGCAAGTTCTCTGAACTCCCAGCTTTCATTTTAAAAAGTCTCTAACCGCTTCCATCATGGAGATATGCCCTTTGCCCTATATCTTGGGGTGCTTTGATGCCACTGGTGATTGCCAATGATGATGAGACAGCATTCCCATTGATTATTTAAGCCATGGGCAGAAGAAAATAAACTGACCCCACAACTGTGAAAACGCAGGATGTGGGTAGATATGTGGAAGAACCCTGCCCAAAACGATTCCAGTGCTTGTGGACTGACTCCTAAGAAAACCAGGAGTAAGTCAAGCATGCAGAAAAGCTCCTACGAAGCAGGCAGACCCAATCAGCCAGCAAAGTTGATCTGCTAAAAGGGCTGAGCATGCGCAGTTCAGCCAGGAGCTGGGGATGCGCCGGCGATCCCACGGCCGGCCTTGATGCGGCCACGCTGGAAGAACCACCTTGGTAGGTGGTGTATTTTTGCTGCACCTTTTCGGGGGTTGGGACGGATTGGGGACGGGTGCTCACCGCTTCCCAGATGTTGCGGTGAGATCACGCCCGTTTGCTGTGCCCCCAATCCGTCCCTCTCCCGGGCCAAACCTTTACGTGTGACCGGGGCCTACTTCTAGTTTTTGTATGGCACTTTGCCAATGATTACAGGATGACATAGCCTGTCTTCAACTCTAGTGCCCTGTATTCCTCTCTGGAGAGAAGAAAAGGTTATTACCAGAAAGTGATTGCTTTTAAAAGTTGAAGGTTGCTCCACTTTGACACTGCCTCTTTCTCCAAAACTTGCAGTAGACAGCATCATAGTCCTTTAAAATCTCTTTGGGGCAGATAATGCTTCCTCATCTTTTTATGCAAGTAAATTAAGGCAAAAGGCATGCCAAGTAATATGGGTAAAATGAAATACAGCAAGGCCAGATCAAGGTCAGACCAGAATCCCAGATTCCTGAATTTGATGCTGCATGTGTTCATGCTTCGCAGAAGAATGGTTAGAACAAAAGACTGCATACTTCCCCCCCCCAAGAATAGCTTTTGAAAGTAATAAAGGCAAAGAGCAAGGTTGGTGCGTTGTTGGAAAGACAACCGACAGTGTTATTATAAGGCTGTAGCTCTCCCCTCTTTATCTGCTAAGTATAAAAGGACTGCTTGGAATAATAAGAGTGCAGCTGTGAGAAAGAAAAACAGTTTCAATTAAGCAGCCAAAAAAATCTGAGCAACATTTTCAAACTAGGATAACAATCAGAGCCGGCTCTGCAGAATCGTGTTAGCTAATTTCACACCTCCTTCCTATTTTTGCTCCTCTGAGCCTATCCACCTTCTCTGGTTGTTATTTTTTGCATTTGCTTGATGAAAATATTAGATTAACTGTTTGCTGAAGACACCTACCCAGAATCACCAGATTTTCACTCAGATGGGGCTCTAGTTGCATAAAAACTCCTACAATAAATAGAAGCGCTCATCTCTATATCAGCAGCTCTCTGATAGGAACACAGCGTTGAGAAGAGACAACACAACAATATCTATTGCAGCTCACTTTTAGTCTCCCTAACAAGCCACATTATGCAGTGCAGACCACACAGCAGATTAGAAACAATAAACAAGCCAATAATAAATAATTTAAAACAATAAAACTACCCAACCCATCAGCCATCAGAAAATTGCATTAATAAAATGAAAGAAAGCTAATTCCACTGTTAAGCCCAAAATCTATCAAAACTCACTTGATGCTGAAGTCCCATGGAATAAAAACAAGTCTTAACTTGGCACTTCAATGGCTAAGAAAAACCTTACAGAGAAAGGAACCCCACAACCTGAGTGCCACAGCTGAAATTGCTCTGGTATGATGTAAGCAGTATCATGGCAATAAATCAAATGACCTACCAATTTCATAAAAAGAATCTCAACTGGGGACTCTAGCAGTGGGCCCTGGTACATTATTTTCTATATCAGTGTGGCTATCTTGACCTCTGTCGTGCTTCTGAGAAATACTGCTTTGGAAGGATGAACAGAGGGTAGTATTGTCAATTCATCAGGCACTGGATCCACGTAACGGGCCGAGAAGGATCCATAAGGTCCTATAAAGTGCCCGGCTGTGGCCTAGATCTTCAGTCTGAGAAACTCCTCAGATACAGCTGTTCACCTGCCCTTCCCTGCTTACTTGACTTCCTAACTCTGCTTTCTGCCTGATTGATACCAGCTTGTCTCCAGACCTCTATTCCTGGCAGAGATCTGGTGATCAAGATCATATACAGAACAGAATGAGAATTTATTGCACTAAGTGTGCTAGTTCTATACAGTAAAAAGGTACCATCTGAATTTTAGGTTCTAGCTTCTGGTAATTCTAATCCTGGCTGTAGGATTAATTTCATGACAGCTATTCTAAGTATGTAAACACAAACCATTCTCACCCATAACTATCCTCTCTACTTCGACTATAGCCCTCAAAGTGTTCTCTAGCTCAGACTAGACAGACACATCTGAATTGATTTCTATGATTCCACAGCTCTTGGTTTGGCAATATTATTAAGTTTTGATTCCCTGCATCTCTGCAAAAATCAATTCGCACTACTCAAGAAACAAAGTGCCTTTAAGATGCTCTCAGTACAATCATTAATTATCCTCATTTAAAATATTTTCACCCTGCTGATTTCTGATGTTCCCTGACTTGCACAAATAAAATAATATTTGAAAATAATTAAGATTAGCATAGGTTTAGATGTGCAGCATTGCTGGGTCAACGTGTCATAATTAATGTTCATCCAGAGGTAATTAATTTCTAAAAGCTGTGGAGGAGACTAGACTTCATTTCCCAAAGAGACACAGACAGAGATATTACCTCTCATTACATGGCTGAAGTACAGGTTTGATTTAATGGCAAGTGATGTAAATTTATATACATTTTGCTATGATACAGAGCAGGACTGCTTTGGTAGAGAAACAAGTAAAGGCTGAAAGAGCCATTTTTCTTTGCCATTCTTCATGCCTATAAGAAGGAGGAGCAGTGCTATTATGAGGCGTGATGAAAATGGCTGGTTCAGGTGGCAAGTGCAACAAGTGGCACATTTTGGGGTTGCCACAGTGGAAAAGTGCACAGGCCCAGAAGTTGGTGTATGGGGCATTGCTTCAGCCTTGGACCAGGCTTGTGCCAGTCAGTGAAGCCTGATGGCAGTGACAGCACAGCAGCAAGAAACAAGGCTGGTGTGACTTCTGAGTTGATTTCTCCAGTGAGCCATGCCACTAGTAACTGGAGAGTCAGTGGCAACAGCAGCTGGGTTGGTCTCTGCCTGAATCTACTGCTTGCCCATCTATTTATCTGGACCTACTCCTTGCCTGCCTGAGGTCCCCTCAGGTCAGGCTCAAAGAAAGGTGTTGGGAAGGAAACTGATGCCAGAAGCAGCAGATGAAGGGAGAAAGTGCTGTGAAGCCTAAAGAAACCAGTTTAGGGCTAGAAATTCTTGCTTTTGTGTATATGTTTGTTTCTGCATATATATGAGAAAGTTTTGTGATTTTATATGATGCTTGTCTCTATGTGCATTAGAGAAAGCATGAATATGCCTCTAGAACTGCTTTGGCATGTTGTGTCTGTCTATCTCTGTGAAAGGATGTGGATAGCATGTGTGTATGTGAGGGGGGATGGAAATATGAAGCTGTGAAGTGGATAAAATAATCTTTGAAATGTTTCCTACATGATTAATGCCTTGCTCATAGAATTGTTGAGCTTACTGTTACCTACAATCTTTGGCTTTGTTTACTTGGTTGGATGATTTGTATGTGCTTTCAGTTCTCTGTCACAGTTCCATGAAATGGCCTTGGGTATTATAACTAGGGATGGGCACAAACCACAGTTTTGCAGTTCAGTTTGTGGTTCATGGCTGAACCACAAACCCGTATGAACCAGGAGGTTGGTTCGCAAACCAGCCTCCTGGTTCCTATCAGTTCATGAGCCATTTAAAGTTTAAACCCCTGCTTTCTGCTCCCTTTGAGCTCCAAGCCATTTAAACTAAAGAGCTGAGTTGTTTTTCATGAAGAGCAGAAAGAGCCATCATAAACTGCATGAACTGCCACAAACTGCACCAAAATTTGTGGGCGTTTGTGGTGGTTCTTCAGTCTGCAAACATTGCTTCGCAAACCATAAACCAGCCAAAATTTGTGATGAACTTTAGGTCATCAGCTGGTTTGTGCCCATCCCTAATTATAACATTAAATTCCTTTAAAAAATAATAATGGAGTACCTTAGTGAAGTTACTGGGACATTTCTGAAAGCAAACTACGGTCTTTAAAAAGAGATTTTCCACTATTTTATGCCTTTCTTTTTTTCTGTATAATTTCTTCAGTTTTTTGCCAAATCAATGCTTTGCATTGATATCTGGTGCCCTTTCAGCCTACTTACTGCTCAACTAGTAGAACAAAAAAGTTCTTTTTTCCCCAGCTGATCAAAATATAGATTCAGGTTCCAACTTCAGTACTATAACCACTTAATTAAAATATGTTTTGATTTTAATAGGGATGTTTCTCTGTTCTAAAGACCCTGGCCCATTCTTTCAGAGCATTTTATTTCTAGAATGTTACCTGATACAGATTATAGGATTATCTTTGGGAGTCTTTTTTTAAATTTATTTAAAATTTTTCAAATTTTACAATTACCAAGATATACAACTTACATATCATACCAAGTCAACTATATCTTTGGGAGTCTTGTAGGATGTTAACTGTAAGAGTAAGATTTTTTTTACTACCTGTGTGGCACTAACTATAATGTAGTACGGTGTAGTATGTAAGAGGCTGAGCTCTGATCAGAGAGTTCAAGTCTCACCACTACCAACTGTCACACCCCCTCCCCTTACTGTCATGTGGGGGTAACAATACAGGCTAATCCACTGGAGGGTTGTAAGAGCATGAAGAGATTAAGTAAAGAGCTTTGAGCACACAGAAAATATTATTAATATTGAGAACAAACTTTAAACCAAAAAAATGCACAATTATGCTTCACAATGTTTATAACAGGACTTGCAGAGGAAAATATGCAGTGGTTACCTGTACTTTCATTTCTCGGTCTGTATCCCAAATTCGGATAATCCGCACATCTCCAGAAGTCATGAGAAGCCCAGTCTCTTGTTCCCAGTCCACCACCATCCCTGCGCCTGTGAAGAGAAAGGGGGAAAAGAAAAGGTGTAGCGTACAAAATTATTCTGTGTAAACATGCAGAGCTGAAGAGAGTCACAGCTGCTTCTTTTGAGACACATTTTGAGCAACATTTTATTGCCACTTCTGAAAATTCTGTGGTAGAGCATGCATGATATCTGGACAGAAGAAAAAAAAATCCAACAACAAGCAGAACACACTTCTTGCAGACACAGTATATTCCACTTAAACCGCACACAGTCATTCTAGACAGGTTTGCACCAGTGTTGCCAGGAAAAAGAGAAAGTAATAGAGTGGGAAGGCCACCAGAGACAAACTAGTGCAGCAAAATGCCCAAGAGCTAGTTAATGAGCCATCTAAGGAACTCCTTATTCAGAGAGTGATGTGAGGTATAGCTGGAGATTCCTTTACCCTGTATTGCAAGAATAATAGTTTAAACAACAAAGACTGGCCTGAAATGGCATATTAGAGTGGTACACACCAATAACTGCTTTTGAGGAACTGCATGTCCCTATCAGGAAAAGAAGTTTAAAGAACAGACAGAGGAACTGCTCAATTCACTGCTCCAAAATCCTGGATCAAATCATACCTAGACAAAAAGGCCAAACTTAAAGAAAGTGTAACAACATTTTAAGATTACATGAGTTGGAATAACTGCAGCTCTATCCATATGCTGCACAGCATAAGCTGACTGCCAGCAGAAGCCTGGAAGTAATTCTCCACCATGGCACAGGCATATTGCAAAGCGTATTTCTTTTCTCTTCAAGCATAGCTTGGACTCTTGATACAGGCAAGCTGTCAGATGAGAGAAACTGAAGATCTTTCTTCCTCTACAGCTAGTCTTCAACAACACAGACCTAGCCAACAACACAGTGCTTCCCGTCTTAGAACATGGCCACTACTAAGGGCTTTTGGGAAACTAGTTTTGCAAAGAGCATGGGAGTTTCTAACTAGGGATGGGCACGAACCGACTCACAAACTAAATTGTGTAACAAATTTTGGCCGGTTCATGGTTCGTGAAGTTCATGGCAGGTCAACCACCATGAACTTTCCAGTAGTTTCTGGAGGTTCATGGTGGTCTGTGAATGGATACATTTCCAGACAGACTGTTTCCGCTCAAACAACATGTTTACCAAACTTCAAAGCGGGGGACATTCTCCAGCCTTGGAACCACTCTTTTCAGTTTCAAACTAGTTTTGTCAGTTTCAAGAGGCCCCCCCCTTTGCCATCCTTCCTTTGTCTTCCCTTCGCATTTTCTTGTACAAAGCTTGCAAAATGCCCCCTCACTTGGATTTGTTGTGACTCTGTGCTTTGAAATCAGTCCTTTTAAGCTTGCACTGCCACAGTGGCACTGGGTTCTGCTGGACATTCTGAACATTGAACTGGTTGTGCTGGGTTTGCAACCCTCGCCCCACTTTGATCGTGATTCTGTACTTCACATCAGTCCTGTTGAGTTGGCATTGCTACAATGGCAGTGCGTTCTGCTGGGCACAAATACATTGCACTGGTTCTGCTGGGCTTGGAGCTCCCCTAGCGTGGAGAGTGATTATGTGCTAGACATCAGTCCTGTTGAGTTGGCATTGCAACAATGGCACTGAATTCTGCTGGGCACTAATACATTGCACCGGTTCTGCTGGTCTTGCAAATGTGCTCCCTTTCAGTTTCTGCTCCAGAGATTCTCTGGTTTGATCTTAGTCCTGTTGGGTTTGCACTGCCACAGTGGCACTAGTTCTGCTGGGCTTGCAAAAATGCCCCCACCTTCAGTTTCTACTGCAGAGATTCTCTGGGACTTTGATTTTGTTCTGCTGGTCTTCTATTGCCCTTGCTTTTTTGCTGTTTTTCCCCTCCACTGGAAACAATGGAGGATGGGGGCACCTTCTCTGGGGGTCGTAGCTTGGACCCCGTAAATTGAATCCTCACCCAACTTGGAGGGCAGGCAGAGGAGTGTCAGCTGGAGATCCCCTGTGAGTTTGCTTTCTCTAGCATGCCGGGGGACATTCTACTGCATCATGAACCTCACAAACTGAACTGGTTTGTTTAGCTCCTAAAAGTTTGTGAGTTTGTGGTTCATCAATTGGACATACCACAAACCATGAACTGAACCACATTTTCCTGGTTCGTGCCCATCCCTATTTCTAACAATGAATCCCAACATATTTAATGACTGCTTTGACAGAATTCACAAGCAACTTTGTGTGCAAATATTATCCTCTGAGGGAAA